GATGTTTGTAATCTTATTTTCTTGTGCCCCTAATTTCTTTGTTGGCCCATGGGAGCCCTGTGGCTCCCGGGCATCAGGAGTTCTTGCATTCTCTGCGTGTGTATGGTGGCGTTGGCTGGCTTATTAGGGGTTGTCAGGTTGTCAGGCCATCTTGAATTTCATTCAACTATAGGTTGAGCATACATGTTTTGTGAGAGGATAGAGGAACTAGGAACTTTCTTGTACCTCAATAAATTACCCTTTTCGTCTTGGATATGTCCCCCTCGTGTACTAGTAAGGCAATAAATATGACTTGCTTAGAGCATAGCATATCTCTGTTGTCTATCTCATTTTCTATATATACATATCCTTCCAGGGAGTCTATTGTAGATCTCTTGTCCTAGTGAGGGTTCTCACAGCCACAGGCTACATGGTACTAAATTTGGTTGTCTAAAGATATCCAGTTCAGACCGATACAAATTGTCTCGAGCCAAAGCCGTTGAACGATCAAAAGCATTCAAATTTTCTCTTCTATCTACTCAATTGGGTATTAATATTGTCTATGATTGATATACCTATGTATGCAGTATATACTACTTAGGTTAATTTTGAATTGCCTCGCATTTAAGTATCTATTACTCACAAATTCAACCTTTATTGGTTCAATCCAGTGGTAATAGCCTGATAGGCAATGGCTAGACAACATTTATAGAAATATTGTGAGGTTTTTTTCAATATATATTGATGCTTTTGCTCTATGGTCTCTACACAACTCCTTCTCCTCCATTTTCTTTTTTTCTTCTGATACCAAACCAATAGTCCACTTAAGATGAGCTTATCAGCTTTTCGTTGAACTATACTATTATATCTACATACAATGGGCAAGTGTATTTCTCAAATCTGGATGCTGAGTCAGTTGAATGTTAGGTGGTATACGGGAGGACACAGTCGTGATGTCGACGATTTCCTGGAATCCCCTAGGGGTTGTAACGTTGTTTGATATACTTTTTTTGATCTTGGTATGCTTGATATTCTTGACATTATTCTTGATATTATTCTTGACCATAGAGGTACTCCTCCACTGAATTCGGTTAAGCCAGGGCTTGGTGGTGGCGGTCCCCCAAAAGACGACCCCCCCCCAAGCCCCTCAAGGCCCTTCTAGGATTTTAAATCATTTTAATTGTATTCGTTATATTTACAGGATGTGTTGGAATGAAGAGATCATATTCCACTTTTTCTCCCTAGAGGCGCATGGGCCTCTAGGTCGAGGATTTATGTATAGAATAGGCGAATAAACATCTAACATGCTCAGGTGTACATTTAAAGGTTTAGTAAGTTGGATAAGGATTAAATGAACTAAAAGCTCTAAAAGCTCTATAATATAAGCATTAATTATGTATATTGCAGACAATGATCATGATTATTATAGAATGAATAGCCCAAATCTCAAAATCCAAGTTGATCGGCAACGGGTCCCAACTCTCCGACTCTTCCATCATCACTCATCTTTGCCTCCAGACCTTTCCCTCCCCACCTCGTTTACCACAAATGTCGTCCAAGTTCTCCAATGATCTTCGCTTTAATACCTTGTCTTGAATTTGTCGAGGAAATGCAACTCATTTGAAACTGTCTTTCCCCCCTCCTCCGACCGCCTCAGCCCGTCATCTTCACGTCTCCAATCTCCTTCGGGACTCACTTTGTCAACCTCAATCTCTGTCGGCCTTGGTATTCTCTGGCTGGCTAGCCCTGCCTTGAGATCTCTGTATCCACTGAGCAAGAGTGACGCGCGACATCAACTATCGGTCACAAATTAGACCAATATTCTCTCCATAACCTTCCTACCGTTCGTGTGACGGGCAGGATACCTTCGTGCACAATGTCAACTCCCTCAACGGCCACCGCAACGCATCCTTCTCATCATCAGGCTTACGGATATCCTCACCACCCTTCGTATCAACCGAATACCTCATACCCAACTTCAACCACGGCTGCAGGAACTCGCCTCGCGAACCCCTACGCCATTTCCGTCCCCTCTCCGACAACGACCACCCTTCCCTACACACACCCGCCGAGAATCCCCCCGGCGACAACCACTCCGTCAGCTATGACCCACCAGAGTGGCTCCAGCGCGGCTCCCTCCGTTGGAGGTCGGAGAAAGAAACCAGACTGGACCGAGTTCTACAAGAATGGGCTTCCTAAGGAAGTCATTGTGATCGATGACAGTCCGGGTCCAGAGCCATCCAATGGTGCCCCGGCTCCCCCTGCAGATACTTCTGCAAGACCACCTCCTACGGCTCCTCAGCCCGCTGGAAAGAGGCGACGGACGGGTATTGAAACCGCCTATGACCTGGGCCACTATGACCGTCCATCCTTTTCAATCAATCCCCAACAATACGGTGAAGAATCTTCCGCCACATCTTTATCGACTGATCGAACTGCATCTTTACACACAACAGCTCCAACTTCGCTTGGTTCACAGGGCAGTACGGGAGCAAGCAATGGTGTATACTACGAGGACGGTTCTGTCGGTCAAAAGCGGAAACGCGCCACTCGGAAATCCACTCGCGACGAGCAGAAGCGACGAGAGCTGGAGACTGCAGGTGATGCTTTCCTGAGTTACGTCCCACCTCCGAAGCCGCCGATCAAAGCAAAAGATGTCCCTGTGCCGGTTGTTCGCGATGTGAGTGTTATATCTTTACCATTTCCTTTCGTACAAATCCACTGACAAAGATTTGCTCGATTAGTACACTAGTTCTCAGAACAAGAAGTTTGACGATGATGATGGCCATTACATTGTCACACCCGACACGCCATTGACAGATCGATGTGAGTAAAGAGATATCTCTGGTAGCTTGTTGACTATGCTAACTCGGCTCGAGACTCTGTGATCAAACTTCTAGGCCAAGGTACCTTCGGCAAAGTTGTCGAAGCCTATGACAAGCAGCGCAAGTCTCGCTGCGCAGTGAAAATCATACGCTCGATCCAAAAGTATCGTGATGCATCTCGAATCGAGCTGAGGGTCCTCTCAACTCTGGCTTCGAACGACAAAAGCAACCGCAACAAATGCATCCACCTTCGAGACTGCTTCGACTTCCGGAATCACATTTGCATTGTGACTGATCTACTAGGACAAAGCGTATTTGATTTCCTCAAGGGGAATGGCTTCGTGCCATTCCCGAGCAGTCAGATCCAGCAATTTGCACGGCAACTGTTCACAAGTGTTGCCTGTAGGTTCTCCACCCCATCTATATCTTTATATCAGACCGCTGACCTTTCAGTCCTTCATGACCTAAACCTTATCCATACCGACCTCAAACCCGAAAACATCCTTCTCGTCAGCAACGCCTATCAAACCTTCACTTACAACCGCACTATACCATCCTCTTCCCACGCTACAGCTCGTAACGCGCGGCAGCGCCGCGTTCTCCTTGATGGTGAAATTCGACTCATTGATTTCGGTTCGGCGACGTTCGATGACGAATACCACTCATCTGTCGTTTCCACCCGTCACTATCGGGCGCCTGAAATCATATTGAACCTGGGCTGGAGCTTCCCATGTGATATCTGGAGTATTGGGTGTATCTTAGTGGAATTCTTCACCGGAGATGCCCTGTTCCAGACACATGACAACCTAGAGCACCTGGCGATGATGGAATCCGTCATTGGAAATCGGATTGACACCGCTTTGGTGAAGAAAGTCATGGCTGGCCGAGGTGGTAGTACCAATTCCGCTTCCAAGTAAATATGGCCCCTTCAATCTTTCTACAACAGAAACTGACTTTCTCAGGTACTTCAATCGAAGCAAGATCGACTATCCCAACGCTGAAACGACCCGAGCCTCGCGGAAGTATGTGCGCGCGATGAAATCGTTGACTGTAAGTGTCTCGCACGTCTGCTTGTGGGGCTTTTTTTTTTTTAACTGATTATGTTTACTCCAGGAGTTCATCCCTATCAATACCCCATTCAACCGTTCATTCCTGGATTTGCTGCAGCAGATATTTGTCTATGACCCCAAGAGCCGGATCACTGCAAAAGAGGCATTGAAGCACCCGTGGTTCAAGGAGACACTCGTTGATGATGGCACGGAGGCTTACCGGATCGGCCAAGGATTACATCGCCAAGGACGCCCCTAGGCCTCAGATCCAGTTTGCACAGTTTCAGTAGCCAATATTCGGCTCTTTCAACGGTATCGGAATGGAATTCACCGGCGTGAATAGGATCCAGTTATGGATAGAAGGCTCATATCTTGATGGTAATCTTTTTCTCTATCGCGGATGGGACGGAATGGTGTTTGCACTTCGGAAAATCATGATTACGATGTTTTTTTTCTCGCTCTTCTCTTTTTTAATTTCTTTTCGGTGCCTGGTTCCTTCTCGACTCCTGCAGGTGGTACCTCATGCAGACTTCGGCTGTCTTTGTGACACCACATGGCAGGGGCATGACCCTTGAGCAACCGATATCACTGCATGTATCCTTGAGGGACCTATCCCCTGATGCTATCCGGTTTTACTTTATCTGCTTTATTTATCCTTCTATCTCATTCTTAAAGGCGCCTGTTACATATTATTCTGTTTTTTTCCCGTCTTGTTTATGGAATCCGGCTTTGGGAGCCCTGGAGGGTTTAGGCTAAGTCTGGATGATTATACCATTTGATTGTTTGTGGCGTCCACTTGTTAACCGTATGGTGTGTGTATATATGTGTTTCTTTCTTTTCGAATTTCTAATTCTTCTCAGATCTGTATATGATTCTACCACTCTGTGGTCTCTGTTGTATACATCGGAGCGGAATAACCCGAAGCCTTCGCACCAAGTTATATAGAAAGCTACAAGTTACTTTTATTCTGTTACAATAATTGACATTGTCAGTTAACGGCAAGGCATACATTAGCAAGATTCGACTCCATCAATCGGATTGCAGATCTATGTATGGCGTGCATGCCCAGGTGGATTGTGTCGATCACTAGATGAACATCCTGACAACTCCAACGCTAATCCCCCCTCTATTCAATCCATAACTCAACATGGACTCCCCAGCGTGGCAAGCAGGAGAGATGACAATCACCAAATTTCATGAACTGCTCCGTATAGACCCTTCCATCGGCCCGGAGCTGGTAAACGAATATCTCGAAGCAATCAAGCAGTACGACGGGACCCTCAAATCCCTTATCATCATAAACAGCACAGCCCTAGAAACAGCCATAGAGAAAGCCACCGAAACACTCACATTCAACCAAACCAACAAACCATTCCCACCATTACACAGCGTGCCCATAATCCTGAAAGACAACTATAGTACCGCAGATTTACCAACAAGCGCCGGCGTAAAAGCCCTCCAAAAGCTACGGACAAAAGACGACAGCGAAGTTGTCTCCCAGCTACGCGCCGCAGGAGCAATAATCCTAGCAAAGGCCAACCTCCACGAATTCGCCCTGCAAGGAATAACCCTCTCCTCGCTCGGCGGGCAAACGCTGAACCCATATGACAAGACCCGCACACCGGGCGGATCCTCTGGCGGGACAGGCGCAGCGCTAGCGGCAAACTTCGCACTCGCGGGGTGCGGGACAGACACGATGAACTCGTTGCGCTCGCCTGCGTCCGCGTGTGGGGTCGTGGGGTTCCGGCCGTCGACGGGGAGGGTCTCGTGTGTGGGGATTGTACCTGTTTCTGCGACACAGGATGCGGCTGGGCCGATGGGGAGGAGTGTTGGGGATGTGAGGATTTTGTATGGGGTTATGAAGAGGCCGGATGGGGAGAAGGTGGATTCTATGGAGGTATCTGAAGCGACATCTCGGACTAGTCGTCAAGTTCGAATTGGAGTTTTGGAGGCTTATTTCCAGTCTGAAATCTATGAAGATGGAACTTTGGAATTGGAGTATATCGCCGAGAACCAGATCGTGCAGGATATTATCCGGTTGAGTTTGGATTCTATACAGGAACAGGATGCAGATATCACCTTTGTACCTATCGCTCCATCCAGTCATCCAGACTGGAGTTATGGAACTTTATTTGCCAAGGCGGACACGCAGGCTTTCGAGTTCAAGCACTATCTCGACGAGTTCCTGCAGTCGCCATTGGTTTCATCAACACCACATCGATCACTGGAATCTATTGCCCAGAGCGGCGAGTTTGATCTACAAGCCATGACACACGTTTTCTCTGCAGCATTGGAAGATCCCGAAACATTTTCACTAGCGAGTGAGGCATACCGAAGCCGACTAGAGTATATTGCTGCTCTCAAAGAGTCTGTGAAACAATGTTTTGATAGATACGAACTCGACGCGCTAGTATATCCGCACCAGACACAGCTCCCTGTGAAGATTGGCGCGAATAAGCAGTCGGGACGGAATGGTGTCTTAGCTGCATTGACGGGGAGGCCTGCTATTTGTATTCCAGGTGGGTAATCAGATTCTATTCGGTGTCTAGAATTTGACTAACACTTTGAATACAGCTGGGCAGAGCCCTAAAACTGTGTCTGCTATGCTTGGCGTTCCTGTTGGGTTGGAGTTGATGGGCCGGCGTTGGGAGGACGATGAATTGCTGGATATTGCGGAGCGGGTTGAGGGGGTTCTTAAGGGTAGAGTCAACCCGATTCTTCATTGAATGGTACGTATATAAGGACAACAATATTGACATGTATAAACGGAAAACGGGTCTATGTATTGTCTGACCTATGCAAAGACGATGTAATATGCACGCTGCGAAACGCCTAAGATCAAAAACTTACATTCCGCGATTGAACTCCACCATGCCCAGATCACCACCACGACCCTTGAACTCCTCCTCAAGGCTATCAACACTGATAGCCTGGCGAGACGGGAACGCAGCGAGCGCAAGCGGCAGCGCAAAAAGGGAAGTACCCAGAATCAATGCCAAGTTAACAGGCGTGACCATGTGGGGGCGGGCACGCAGCCAGTTCGTCTTCTCAAGACGAACGAGGATCAGCGGCGGTAGGACCATGATAGGCGTAGCGTTCAGGACACGGGAGATAGCCGTCTCGCCGACGGCAATTGTAGCAGCCTTCTTACTCTTGCCGAGACTCTGGACTGGCTCGGCGTCCTCATTGAGCTCACGTTTAGCACGCTCAGCATCTGAAAGGACGGGGTAGATGTCAATACCCTGACGGATTTCCTCGCCGCGCATGAGGAAGACGTTTAGGGCTGAGGCGCTGGCGACGGCGGCGAAGGGGACAAGACGAGAGAGGATGAGGCGGGTATTTGGGGAGATTCCCTTGAGGCGGGGGACGAGAGCGTTCAGCCCGACAGCGACGGAGCAGGAGGCTGAGACAGCCATAAGGTAGGACTTGCCGATTTGCGATAAGGAGAGGGGGGTAGATTTGTTTGCGTTTGCGTTGTTGATGGCAACGTTGAGGGACTGGTTACCAATTTGCCAGAGAACGGTTCCGGTTGTCTGCGTTGTCAGTATATTTTTTAAATGTATACATGTTTGCATATGCATAAAGAGATGCTCACCTGCAACCCTGGGGTCAACATGCCTGCTGTGACGACCAAGTTGGAGAGCACGTAGGCCGACATGCGGAAGGGCAGGAAAACGGGAGTTCCGGTATCTGTTCGGTCCTAGGTTAGCCAATGGCTATTGTATGACATTGAACCGAGTCCATACCAGGGTGCAATGTTGCATCGACCACCTTCTTCGCCGACCACAACTCTGGTGTCATGGCCGGGATGCGGTTCTGCTTGTAAGAAGCAATGAGGTTCTTGGCGCTTTCAAGGCCGGCGGACGAGACGAAAAGGGTGCTAATACGATTGAGATGATTAGTATCTACTGGGAAATCCACCAATCTCTTCAACCTGAACTTACCGAGGATCAGAAATGTCGGCGGCATGGCGCACGCGACCCCAATAGGTTTTCAGGTCATATTGCGACGCAGGAAGATCCCGACTGCCAGGGGAGAGAGGCAGACATTGAAGCGAGTGAGCGACGAAGCACAAACGACTGGAATAAGACCAAGAGAATGAATGGCGCGCAAAAAAAAAAAACGAAGAGCGATCTGACTCCGCGGGGAGAAAAGCGCTTTTTCGATAAAAAGGGCGGTGAACCGATAAGTGCGGATTGACCAATTAGACTGCAGCTCGATCTATACAATGTACCTGGTAGGGCTTTTTGTCGGTGAAGCTCGGTCAACTAGGGGAGCTAAGCAGCGCAGAGTTGAGAGACTAAGGAAAAGGTAGCGATGGGCTCTTATGAAACTAAATAGCCGGGTGTTCTTGCAGACAGTGCAGCCCCGGGCCGGCTCCTCTGCCGAGACCGGTTCGTTACCCCGATATGTGGAGTTATGCAGGCTAAGAGAAGACGTATGGAGAAGTATAGAAATAATTCTATTCTGGGTTTGTCCAGGGTTGTGAGGGAATAGTACATAGGTATCATAAGGGGATAATGAGGGCTCAGAAGGATTCCTGAGAGGGGCGATTATGAAATGGGGCAGGGTGGCCCGGCTAATGCAGAGTACAAAAGAGCCCAGTTGGGGGAAGAATCACACAAAAGAAATCAAGTGGCACCGGTCTTTCCAAGACATATATATGCATCCAAAACTGTAGTCAATGCACCAGGTTTACCGGAAGCGGAATGACTTGTGGGCTAAGGGAGAGGGAGGGGCTTGTCCAGTGGGAACATAAGATGTTCGAGCACGATTTTGCCGGGATGGTGTTGTTTGAGCACAAAAGACGCAGACATAGACTGAGGGCAGGTTTGCACGCTCCAATCCAACGCATCTGGTATGCAGCCAGTGTGTACACGATTCACTGGGGAAGTTAGCACAATCGACTTTGGGATCAAAGCCGATGGAGACTGGGACTCACCATTGAATCATGAGATGGCCACCGTTATCCATCGAGCGGCAGACACATCGTGTGCCGTTACTGGGGTTGCTGTGACGGTCTGTACTGGGGGTTGCAAGATCAGGGTCGGTCAAGGTCGTGGGAGAAGCATTGTGACGGGGATGTATATCAAAATCACTGCCTAGGCGGGGTGGTGATGAGCGGAGATGAGTAAAGGTGTGTGATGATCGAGAAAGTCGATTGTTGAGCACGTTTGTGGAGGGTCTTGGTCCCCGGCCGCGTTCTTTAAGAACCTGTCGGAGGGCAGATTGAGCATCACCACTTTCGCCATCTTCCCCGGGCAGCAAGTCCGATGCTACGCTACTCCGAGTATAGGTCGAGTCCGAGTGCAGCAGAGACGAATGCCGTTTGGGTGTTCGCTTAATATCAGGAGATCCTCGATACGTTGCGCGTCCGCTTCCCCTAGAAGAGCCAGCCCAGGGTGACAGCCGACCTGAGTGTGATGAGCCGACGGTGGAAGCATAAGAACCCTTTGAAGGAGGCCGGGAGTCCGAGTCACTTCGGGATAATGGACGCCTTGAGCCGTCATAAAGTGAAAAGGACGACTGAGCACGACGTAGGACGGGATACTCCGAGAACTCGGCCAGGTCTGATTCGCTCTCGGTTGTAGAGCCATCTAGATCAATTCCAGTCAGGGGATCGGTTAATCCTGTGGGAGCCTCACTGGCGGGTTCCATTTCAGCCTTTGCACGGCCATCTCGACCGATACGTAGCACTACAGACGATGAACGCGCCAAGGATCCAGTGGCTGTCGAAGTAGATCGCGTCAAGGGGGCTGTACGCATGGGTTTTGCTGGAGACGAACGCCCTTTACATGGGCTCTTTCGGATTCCGCTGGTGGATGCCATCAAACCCCCGGCTTGACTGAGCGGCCGGGACAAGTTAGGTAGACCGTTGTGGGTCACGCTACGGGTTAGGACTGGCCGTATTCCCCTCGGTGTGTAGTCCTCATCTTCCTCTTCGCTCTCGCTTGGGAAGACAGTAAAAGGATCGTATCGCTGGCCATTTGGTGCCTGTGCACGGATAAGCTCCTCCCGCCTTGACTCTTCTGCCTGGTGGTGATATGGCTGTCGAATGCCACGAAGAGACCGTTTGCCTGGTGTAAGTTGAGGGCCCCCGAATCTCCGAGCAGGGGAGCTAAGGAACAGAGCTGGATCCTCAGCCTTGGTGACTGGGAGCCGGGGAGAGGTAGAGAATGGCGCAGGAAATAGGGCGGCATCAGTGGGCTGTGGTACCGAAATTCCAAAACAGTTACCATAGTCGGGAAGATCAATTGAGCCTCCAGTGGCTGGTAATTGGGGGATGTGATGTGTGTTTGTAAAGGCGGAAGTCTGACGGTGATTGAAATGGTCCCCATTGCTGGGCAAAGGAATTTCACTCGCTGTATTATCTAGATCATGATCCCAGAATAATCGTTGCTGTGGGAAGAAAGGCGAGCCCGTGGGATCCAATGAAGCCAGCTGAAAAAGATCGGGTGACGATTGAAGGTTGCCAAACATTCGAGGGGATGCTCTGAGAAGACGACTAGGTGTTTCCAAATGATCTCCCATGCCTGGTGTTGCACCGAGTGTATGTCCATCGGGCTGGTCAATCTCGGGGATTTTTCGCCTTGATGCACTTGTCGGCGGCGGGGTTTGCATCGAGGCTGCTGACTTGGCCGATCCCACTGTCCGAGGATAATCCTCGCTCATACTCGGCAGAGGCTTCACCGAGCGAATTCGTCTGGCCGTGTCGGTCTGGTCCGCTGTCCTCCCCCTGTAACCGGTAGTCTCCCCATTGTGACTTTTCAGTGGATTCGACGAGCCTAGACCAAACTTCTGTGGTGTGCGAAGAAGCTCTGGGCTGGAGGCATATGGGTCGGAGGTATCCCAGGTCACCCGGGGGTCAAAGAAGCTGGATTCAAGTTTTGGGGTGTGAAACGAGTCGAAGGTGTTCGGAGTCCTCGTCGGAGTTTGAGGTTCACCGTTGGGATAGCTGAAGCTGAACATAAACGAATCCATGAGCGTCTTTCATATAGGTATATAGTATAGATTGGGGGGGGAAAAAGAATAGAAGACTACAATGTGACATGCCCACAAGGGGGTCCTCAAGGGAGAATGCATACCTGTGGACAGGGTGATCCCAACTCATGTCAGCAACACAGACCTAGTAACCATTGAAGATTAAGCTGCCAGGCAACTTTAATTCGAGAATGTGAGAGACAGAAATTGGAAGCAATTAAGATCATTGGAGTTAATTCATATTGTGTAGTAGAGAGTTATAATTCAAGGGGAGGGGGGGAGTTGAATGTAGAAGGAGAAGTCGGAGGGGAGAGAGTGTTTTTCTTTTGCTCTGTTTGTCGGGATTTTTTTTTCTCTTCTTTTTTTTTTTTGAAAAAAAAAACCCGTTTTATTCTTTTTATATTTTCTATCGGTTTTTATTTCATCGTGGGGACTCGGCTTTTTTTATTTCCATATTGATCCACAGCGATGTTGGAGAACGGAGTGTACTATGTTGTATAGAAAGTACGGGCAATTATAGTATGTTATGCTTCATGCAGGAACAAAAGGTGGATATGTGTATAATACCATGTTTGCACAGTTCAGCTATGGAGTATCAAGGTCAGACTCAAGACTCTGCCGATCTAGACCTACAATACGAGGACTCAGCCGTCGGGGATGCCGGTTCAGCTCTTTTAGGCAACCAGTGAGAGAACTACCATTTTTTTTTTAAATAAAGGGGACAAATCTCACCCAATGACGTTTCAGGAGATATGGAGGCTCCAGACAATATATCGTATATTTTGTGTGGGGGAGTCAAATATTGGACCTTCATACCTTCATAGCTTCGAAGTATCAGAATATTAGAATATCAAACTATCTGGTTGTTCTACTCTAACACCCTAGACGAAAGGAAGAAATTCAACCAGTCTAACTAGAGTAATCAGGATTTGGAGAGCTAAGCTGGTAAACCTGGTAAAACCCTTGGCGTCTCTTTGTGCCCAAAGATTATATTACTTACTCCAAGCTCCAAGCTCCATTCTCCCTGTACTTGCCTCCTTGCCTTGATTCTTGTTGGAATTGTCTACATAGTGTATACTCCATATCTCGATATTAGGTATAACATACTATATACGGACAGTCTTGACCTTTAACCAAAATTGAACTCCGATCTCAAAATCTCAAAACCTGGAGATCTGATGATCCCAATCTTATCCCATAGGATCTACTCCGTATCTCTAGGGTGATGGATCTGACCAATGAACTCCGGTGTTCCAGTGCTAATCTCATACGTGATATCACCACGTTTGACCAGTCAATCCATATCTACTCCGTCAAAGACAATAAACCGGGAACCTACAGGTATGTTGTACTTTCGGAGAGCGGATGTATCAAGTTTGTCTCAAAGAGTAATAGCTGGTTTCTAGTTTGTCTCAAAGAGTAATAGCTGGTTTCTAGTTAATGTGGAGACCATCTATATTTTGTACGAAGTACGGAGTACTCTGGTACAAAATATTTCAATTATGTTGCACTGGATAGTTGAGGGATTATTATCTGATTATTGATTTCTTATACCTCACAAACTATTGTACATTAACTAATTCCAAGGCTGGTGCATATAAGAGGCCTGATTATCCAGGCACCAAAATGAGGCTCCACACAGCCACAGTGCCACAGCCACCGTTCCTGATCTGCTTTGATCGTAAACTGTGGAAGTATCAAAGACCCTGAAGTGTTTCAGGTCCAAAAATAACATCGAATGACAATCAGATCTCGATACTGCCAGAAAGTATCCTTCAATGGAATCGATGTGCAACTCCCATCTCAACACCGTGCCAACCAACAACTCATCAGTCTCCTTGACTCCATGAACACCCAACATGGCACCAACCACTAAACCCAAAGTTCGCAAACGCAAGCCGCGTCTGAGAAAGAAGAACCGTGGTATCCGCACTCGCGAAGGTCACGCACGTCCGGTAGATGCAGGCTCGCCAGCACAACCGCTTGCCGAAGTGCGCAACGAGACGACGAAGCGTCGTAAACCTAAGAAAACATGGGCAGCGCTCATTCCTGTCTCGGATGATCCACTCGAAAAAGTGAGTTTAAATCGTATCAATATTGAAGAACACTCCACTAAACATTCAAACATAGAACATTGTTGAGCAGGTACCCTTGCCAGATGGTTACATTCTAGTACCCAAGGGTGATGTCTATATCACCCGACACTGCCGCAGTAAGACCAAAGAGTCCGAGCGAATTGTCTATGTTGTCTATGTAAGTCCTCATTCACCCCACCAGTTTCAAGCCCAGAAAGGGACCACTAACAGCCCCAGAACCACACGGGCAAAAGAACGCTGGGAATCCGAGTGCCTGAAGAAATTTACACAGAAGTTCTCGAATCAGCCGCCGCAACAAAGGAATCACGCGCTAATGCCGTGCAAGTGCGCGACGCCAAGGATCTCTCCAAAGCCCGAGAGCTCCTGAAGAATGAATTCCCGCTTATGCCCAAGGAAACACTCAAAACCGTCCTGGAGCATGCCTTCCTCAAGGGATCGGGGCGCGTAGGGCGAACAGCGATGATCAGTGATAATCGTAAGACGCTATTAGCTGTTGAGGCACATATTCGACATGTCCATACGCCTTATGAGAAGTTGCTTGAAGGCGGCGTCAGTCGGAAGAATGCTCGTGAGCAGGTCTGGTCTACTATTCAGGCTGTTGAGCGGGCTTGGCAGGGGTCTGAGAAAAGTGAGACTACATTGACGTTGCGCCCGGTGGATAAGTGAAGGTTGGCATTTTGTTTTTAATAGGATTTGGTGATAATTGCATTGTGGGAGTTTGTTATGGCGTTATTGAAGCTATGAACCTATAAGGCCATGTTGAAATTACTCGAAGTTTACTATTTAGGTTTGTGGGAAACACTCAAACACCTCACTGTTTACTCAATCATTGATCCTGTAGGCTAGGCAGGTAGGCTTATATGATCCATGGATGATAGTAAAATCGATAAGAATAGTATCTGTGGCTATCTGGATGTAAGAAAAAGTCAAAGAAGAGAAAAGAGAACAGGAAGAACAGGAAGAACAGGAAAGTATCTCACTAACTAATGAATCTTAGTCACCCAATAACCCATGGATTGTTGTTAAACTTCCTCAACCGAGACTCCCATACTAAGTTCATCAATCTCACTCCTAGCCCCGAAACAGTGCTCATAAAGCTCAGAGGCGCATCCAGTAACAATAACTCAATTTAGAGGCGTCGTCCACGAAGGAACTTGACTTCGAAGTGTGGGTGGCGGTAAGGCAGACCCGTAAACCAGCCGAGGCCATCCCGAATCATGTCTTGCATGGTACCCATGCGAAGATTGGCATCAGTAAGGGCATGATCACGGTTGTCCTGTTTCGTTTCAATACAAATGTAGACATGGGGACCAGCTCGCTCAGGCAGGACTTGCAGAATTGGCAGTCCGACTCTCTGAAGACGAGTCAATTCAGCCCGAGCGGCAGTCAGCACGTCAAGGTCGAGAGTTGGAATAGGTCGAGACTGAATGGGGATGTAGAAGATGTGCCGGTGGACGTGATTCACCACAGATTCCTCGGTCATGCGAGTCACAGAGGTAGATGGAGGAGGCTCTTGGACGGGGGAGTCGATCTCCATCGGATCAAGTTCCATGAGATCGGGTTCAAAGTGGCCTTCCACGTCATCTGGGACAGTAGCGTAGCGGCTACTTCCCATACCGGGCTGGATAGGACCGGTGTAGGAAGCGGCTCGACGGTTACTGTTCTGAGAGTTTGATGCACCGGCTCGTCCTGTTGAACGCCCTCGGGTTTGGCTTTGTTGCCTGAGTTGTCTTGCGACTTGTCTCGGGAGCGCACCTGCGCCACCGCTTGCGTTGTTTGACATGGTACTAAGTAAAGACATTAGCTTACGCTTGTCTCGTACTTTCCGTATTAGAGAATACGCATACCGATAGATGCTTGCTATCTCCCGCACGGAAGAGAGCACATACAGTGGTGGTGCAGCTGATGATGGAAGCTAGCCGAGGGGGAAAGGGAATGAGAAATATCCGTCTCGAGGTTAATGATACTATTGCTTAGCTCTTGCAGCACGTGATTTCGAAGTTCGAGGATTCTACGTATGTTTGGTTGTGGAGGATGACCTCGAGGGGGGAATCGAAGATTACCAAACCAATCAAGGCCATGTTTGTTATTTATTGTCATTTGAAAGAATTAGAGTAATAATAGCCATGACATTCACAGAATTTAGACATATCAAAATAATACGGTAAAATGTATAATTGTGAACATTTGAAGCTATACAAGTGTATAGCCAAGCCTTTAGCTGCGTTATCGCTCCTTAGTTCCTAATTAAGAATGCCAAGCACTTGCCAAGACACTAATAGAGCCCCCACAATTAGAACATTCAGAGAAACAGAAATGTTCTGTTTCACATTCTCTTATATTCTTACAAAGATAATGGATTTCAAATTATTATATTGTCTGCAAGAAGTTTTTCATCCTTATATATCTTCAAATATCGCGATTGAACAAGTGACACCTGGAATCTCCCCAAGTTATTCAGGGTCTATCGTAGTTACACTAATCAGGTGAAACAAGTGCCCTTCTGTTTGGGGGCCAAGGCTGATAGGCCAGAGAAAATCTTCATCTCACTCTACTCCGTCTGGTCTCCCGTATCTGTTATGGCTATTATCATCATTCATCATGAGAAATCGCTTGTTTCTAGGGTCTCCAAACCGGCATAAGTATGTCCTGGTGGGTGCGATTCTGACTCTATTCATCCTTTTTAAGTCTCTGCCCCCACCGGTATCTAGGCTAGACCCCCGCACTGAGAAGTTGTACGGGGAAAGCCAACCACGATATCTTCACCAGTCTACCTTTCGCACAAGTCCAGACTATGAATATGAGGTTAAGCTCTCCAATGCGCTACGCGCCATCGAGATAGAAAGGCAAATGCGCTATGATGAGGATGCGACAGACACACTGTGGCAGATTATGTTACCAGGTGTCAACCACCGAAGCGACGATTCAATTCAATTCGAGACAAAAAATTCAGAATGGAAATACAAAGTAAGACCGATAACAAATAATTCATATCTCTATAATCAAATATCAGCTCGAACCACGGCTAACTTCACAATCTACAGCTCGTCCAAACCGACTGGGCCGACAAATTCATTTTGGAGACTCTCCAATCCATTCCAGAAATCGCCCGACTCTACAAATCCTACCCGCACTCCGTCCACCGAGGAGATCTCCTCCGCTACTTGATTCTATGGTACTACGGCGGCTACTATGCAGATCTCGATGTATATCCCGCACGCAGCATCAAGCACTGCCCCTCACTACGCGACTCAGTCTTCAAGGACAACACAGTCAACACGAATATCTCGCTGGTCGTCGGAATTGAGATCGACGAGCCTTTCGCCTCGCCGCAGAAAATGCGCGACTGGCACTGGGCCCGACGTTACGGCTTCATTCAGTACACAATGTATGCGCCACGACGGTTCAGCCCGCTGCTAAGAGAGATCATCGTCCGGGTACTGGCCCATACAAAACGGCGTGTCTACGAGAGCCATTTCTGGAGTGGGGGTTACAGCGAAATGGATACGCTGGAAATTACTGGCCCGGGCGTGTTTACAGATGCCATTCTCGATGTGCTATCGGATACATTGCCGCCTACACATCGGTTAGTTCAGCAGTCTGCAGATGCGGACGCTGGGTTCTCACCCTCAGGTTCGTCTGTACAGCGTGTGACGTGGGCGCCTTTTCACGGGATCCAAGAGCCACTCTGTGTTGAAGGCCCAGAAGCCAAGTCTGACAAGCTTCTGGGAGGACTGTGTGTTCTACCTGTCAACGCCTGGGGTAATGGACAACGGCATTCTGGATCGGAGAACTTCAATAGTCAGCAAGCTTGCATTAACCATCGATTTGGGGGAACCTGGAAACCTTGGAAACAGAGCTGGCAGAAGTATCTCTTTGGATGAGAAGATATGATTTCAATGTTAACATGGGGTGCTACGGGGTATACAGTATATGGCGTTTCACGGTACTTTCCACTTCATCTCATGTCCAAGGAGGATTAATACCATCAAGGTCTTTGTTCCTAATGTTGATACCCCATAGGTTTGATTTTTGTAACGGTAGTACCATTGAATATCAAGTGACAAGTGAAAGTAAAGTTGAATTCCTTTAGTACTCCTAAATCGCCCTTCTAAAGCACCTCGACTGGAAGCCTGATGCATAAGACATGGTTGAATTAGGCAACTATGCATGATTGATTGGACAAAGTACCTACGTACATAGGTAAGTAATCAACTTTCTCTGGCCAATGCAATCGAGATCTAGCATAGCGCTATATGACGCCGTGCCGTTTCCCCTACTAGTGCATTCTCATCGACAAACAATATATAGCAATAGTTGAAGATTTCAAATATACCTACCTAGGTATAACTCGATTACTATTATTGATAAAGAGCTAGGCTATCTACTTAACCGGCCCTTACATTTTTTTTACAAAAATTACAGACCCTCGCAAGTGAGGGTCCACCACCCATATACAAAGTATCACCCAAATACAACTTTTTTTATACATTTTACTTCAACATCAATTTACTACCCTACAGTATAGTAAATTAATTAATTAAAAATAGTAAAGATATCAATTAGCTATTTTACTACTAGAATACAAAAAAAATTCAATTCCCCCGGCGTTTTTTTAGCCCTTCTATACTTCCTGATTTCGATCAATACCTTCTTCCACTTCCGCTTCGTTTTTTCTTAATCGGCTTTTTCGCTCAATTTATACTCTTTTCTTTTTATTGCTTTGACTTAATCGGAATTAATAATACTAGTGATTCGTAAATAACGACAAGAAGTATTATACCGGGCGTGGCGTGTACCTATAATAGCTTAAGTACTATCGAATTCCCGTTGGAGCTGGTAAGCCAAAGTAGCCTACGCTTCAGCACCCTTTACTAGCTTTGCTAGCCCTTATTGGAAGCGCTTAGTAGTAGGATTATACTGATTAATACGGTGGCTTATTCTTCGCACTCTCTCGGCGGTTTTTGGTGTACTAAACTCTATATTTTGAGAGCTAGCTGATAGTGTATCTGGCCGGGGTATAGTATTATAATATAGATTGTACGACTCCAATTTATCGGTAATAAGCTTAGGATTAATAGGCTAGAGGCTAGTTAATTTGAATCTAAGCTTAATTGTATAAGGCCGGAATATCTTTTATCTGATTTCACCGATAGAATAAAGAAATTTATCCTGTAAGAATTTGCGGTGACCAGTTATAGTAGCCGCTTCAATAGCCTCACTATACCAGTGTTTATATACGCTAAATACACCGATATCAAGAGGCTGTAATATATAGCTAGTATACAAGAGTAAGAAGAATAAAATAATATTATTCTCCTTATAAAACTGGATAAATTGACGCGTTATATAAGATCCAAACCGATTATATAAAACCAGCCTTTTTACACCTATTATACGACCAATAGTCTATTTGTAAAACAGCTTAATCTATCTGTATACTATAATATTATTGATATAGCCTATATCTGATATAGATATATACTTATCTCCTTCGATAGTATCGAACCAGCGTAGTATTGCCTACTTTGCACTTAAGATAATAAGTGGTAGATAGATAAAACTATCCGCTGAAATAGCCTCTTTAACTGTAATAGATTCACGATTTGTAACAGATCTATTGAATAGCTTCTTCTTTAGATATCTTATAATAATAAATTGGTCTTGTCCGACACTAATTTAAAAGCCAGCTTCGTTAAAACTGTAGATATCTTGTTAACAGATACTATACTCCTCGATCTTTTATTAATAGTCCTAAAACCACCTTTCTACCACTGTTTTCCTAAGAGCGGAAGCTTTTTCAATATCGAGGGCTCTTCTTCTTCGTATATAGTACTTAGGATTACGTTTAAGAAAACGTTTTAGCTAGTAGTCGCCGATTTATAGGGGTAGAATTAAAGGGTCCTAATAATTATCCTCGAGAATTAAATTAGCGGCAATGACAATTTGTCGGCGATTTATTGATACTCCGACCAAATTAAAGTAATCAATATATTTATATAAAGCTCCCTCTTGTGAAGAAGTAAGCTTTCGACTATTGGGTTGTCTTTGAAAAAGTGATTTTCCACCGTTCTATCGCCGGCGGAGTCGATATATAGGAACCGCGAATTCTCGCGCAGTTTTCGTGATATTGGGTTTAGACTGCTCAGATAGAGAGTCTATAGCCAGTTATATCTGCTTCTCGATATCTTTATTGGTTTTAGGCATTTTTGGTGGTGTGGTTAGAGGACAAAGTGAAAATGTAAAAATGAAAAAAAAAGTTGTATTTGGGTGATACTTTGCATATAGGTGGCGGACCCTCGCTTGCGAGGGTCTGTAGTTTTTGCAAAAAAAAATGTAAGGGCCGGTTAGTATCTATATCCTTATAATGTTACGTGCCAGATCGATCAATGAAGAAAGAGTACTCCGTACATTCAAAATAGAAAAGCAAAGATAGGGGAAATGGGAGAAGAGAGAGAGGGCACCAAAAGATCCCTGTTTTATGCACTGCAAAATGATCACAATTGGGTTAGAAGGATGCTGGGTATACTTACTTTATACTCCTCAGGTTTCGAACGTCAACGATCTGTCTCTCAGCCGAGCTGACACCCTGTCGACAACACCTATCGCCCACGGGCATATCTATCGCGGGTATACCCATTATACCCACCATGATATAAAGTCACCGACAAGAGACCTCGGAACGTATCACTCGCTGACTTGGCAGAATAAATCGCTGTTGTTTATACCTTAACTATATATAAACACCTATTTGCATACAATTGCCTAGTTGACCCAAATGGTATACGAGGTACGAAGTACATGGTTCATTTCTGGATCAGGTATAGTGCCAAACTCAATTACATACCAGGATTCGGTGTAAGATTCGGCATTTCCGGGGTTGACAATCCCGAATTCTTCCGATAAGACGGGATATCCAAATACTCCAGATGGTGGCACATATTCAGTAGAAATTACTTGAGGTTTATATATTATGAAAGGTCGAAGAAACAGGTGAATAAAAATTAAGTAGAAAGTAGTAGATATGCTACCCCAGGGACTAGGGGAATCCGGATGACGTATAGGGGGTATTCTGATACCAATGCCTAACACGTGTCTTTGCATGACGAGCGGTAGGGGTGCATGAATGCGTCCCTTTTACTCTACAATCTCCGATCACCACACCCTCACCACACATTTTCCCACTCCAATCTAAAACTCCCGCGTCGCGCGCATTCATCAACGTCGCGATGTCTGCTCCCGCCCCTACCCAGAAAGGCCCCCAGGGCATCGACCTGATCGGTCGCTTTGCCTTTGCCGGTGCTGTCTGCTGCTCCGTCACCCACGGTGCCTTCACTCCCGTCGATGTGTAAGTTGGCCCGCTCTTTGTTATCGCCGGGTTACTGACAACCTCTCAGCGTCAAGACGAGGATCCAGCTTGACCCTGCCACCTACAACAAGGGCATGTTCAATGCTTTCCGCCAGGTCATTAAGAACGAGGGTGCTGGTGCTCTCTTGACCGGTGCCGGTCCTACCTTTGCTGGTTACTTCGCCCAGGGTGCCTTCAAGTTCGGTGGATACGAGTACTTCAAGGCCCAGGCGGTCAACAGCGTCGGTCTCGAGAAGGCCCGCCAAAATCGTATTGCCATCTACTCTTTCTCTGCCGCCGCAGCCGAGTTCTTTGCTTCAATCGCCCTTTGCCCTCTTGAGGCTACCCGTATTCGTCTCGTCTCTACCCCTGGCTTTGCCAACGGTCTTATCGGCGGCTTCAGCAAGATCCTGAAGAATGAGGGTGTCGGGGCGTTCTACGGTGGTTTCGGACCTATCCTCTTAAAGCAGTACGTCGATCCCAAGAAAAGCTTTACAGCGTCAAAAGCGAAAAAGGAGAACCGAAATATTAACATATTAATAGGGTTCCCTACACCGTGACCAAGTTCGTAGCTTTCGAGAAGTTCTCTGAAATGATCTTCGCCCAGTTCGACAAATCTAAGATGTCCGACGGTGCTCAGACCGGTGTCAACCTTGGAGCTGGTCTCCTTGCCGGTTTCGCCGCTGCCATCGTCTCCCAGCCTGCTGACACCATGCTGTCCAAGATCAACAAGACTAAGGCTGCCGCTGGTGAGGGTACTGTTTCCCGTCTCATCAAGATCGCTGGTGAGCTCGGCTTCCGTGGTGCTTTCGCTGGTCTCCCCACTCGTCTTGTCATGGTTGGTGGTATCACCGCTGGTCAGTTCGCCATTTATGGTGACATCAAGAAGGCTCTTGGTGCTACCAACGGCACTGAGATCGCTAAATAAGCGTCTCGTTGATATTCCAAGATTTCGCATGGTTTAGATGGAAGAAAAAGGGTTTGGTATAGAGATGGATGTACTGATTTACGGCCTTATCTAAAGTTGAGTTGGAGAGGGACTACTTTGTTTACTGCAATTACCTCAAGGTGTGGGACCCTCTCATTCTCGACTTTAGTGTATAATTGCATTGGGCCGACATAAGAACTAGTTTCTGCGACTGCGATAAATTATGTATTCTAGCCTCCGCAATTTTCTGTCCCTATACAATTGATATCACTGATGGTTTGACAAGCCTAGATAGCGGCGCGACATCGTTGGAAATATATCGGAGCTCAAACCGCCGGAACCAGGTCGTGCTATTAATCGTATCGGTATTAACAATAACCCCAATCTACCAATGTCATGGGTCCATCGATCAGAGTTAAAGCATTTCCGCAAGACTACACATATTGTCAGATTTCTTACTACCACTATCCATGAGCTGGTGGGCCACAGAACCGGTATACTCCTCAGCGAAATCGCTCCGGGCATCTACAACTTTGACCAACAAAACCCGCCGATCAGTCCACTGAACAGGAAAGCCGTGACTTCACACTACTTACCTGGTCAAGCTTGGACTAGCATTTTTGGAAATTTGGCAGGCACAGTGGAGGAATGTCGTGCCATTCTAGTCTCCGAATATGTTATGGATAACACGGATCTGTTGTATATTTTTGGGTACACTAATGCCAGTGAAATCACCGCTGACGACCGTAAGTGTTACCCGACAGTGAATATTAGCCTACTAACTCAATATCAGTCCTTTATACCACCTATCTCAATATCGGTGTCGATGGCCTTCAGGCTCTCGAATATTATAACTTTTAAAATAAGGCTTGGGGACAAGTCCACCACCAGGTATGTATATCTACCTTTCCATTCCCTAGACTTATCAAAAAAAAAAACCTGCTACTAAGGCTCACTTCTCCATCATGAGACACCTTCTCCAAGATGGCGGCGGCGTCATCCACATCTCCCATGATCCCAACACCTCCAGTCTCACCGTCTATATCGACCGGACAAAGATCATCTCTCACGGAAACCCTGATTTGGGCCGCTATCTCTGTCGCCTGCATTTATGGTGCTGTACTGCTGAAATTTCCTCCTGTAAGGAGTTCTACGAACCTATGTGTGCTGTCGACGGCGTATACGAACAGTGGCGGCAGATTGTGTGCTCGAAGCCAATGCCAAGATGGAAATTTACTCAACCCAATACGTTTGTTCATGGAGAAACCGTGGAAGTTAAATTACATTAAGAGAGAAACAAGGGAATCGTTCAGTCATGGGCTGAGAGGGGGGTTTGAAGATATCAAGATCAGACTGCTTAGCAAATGGTTGCTTGGTTTTTTATTGGGATAAAATTTCGTGATTTTTATTAGTTGATTGATATCCAAATTGTATTTTTCTGGTCCCTTCCAGTTCCTATACCCCAACTCGAGTTAGACAACCATTCGTCCACAACTACCTAAGTACATAACTGTAGACTGCGCCATACCCCGCAAAAACCCCGAAACGGCAAAAGCCCCACTAGGCTTTGCGGGTTCGGGTTGATCTTAATCCGCCCCGCAACTGGTGACGGCGCAGAGCCGCAACTAAGAGGAATCTCGGGTGTTAGATCCACGAGAAACAGAGGAAACGGAGTGGAGGAGGGAGAGGGAAATGCACCTTAGTGGATTCCCACAGGAGTTGATGCTTCCAACGGTTCTGACGGCTACCTAGGTAAAAAGCACCATCTGACTAATACATTATGCGAATCATGTGATGTATGCCTTAGGCACCTTTGTCACAATAGGAGAAGGGCCGACATACCATGTATAGATCGGATTGAAGATCGCTCATTTGCGGTACCATCGGAAAGGATGTCTTGATCCCTAGGATGGCAGGGTGTGCGAACCCTGACTTGCGACGTTTGTAGCCCAAGTCTGAATGTGGACGAATGATATCTGACTTAGTTATACTCCATAGATCGAAAACGTGATCAACCAGTCGCCCCCTTTCGATCTCGGGACCCACCGCTCTGTTAGGTGGTGGAACTGGAAACTTTTGCACACGGACATCTCGAGGATATGCTTGATAGAAAATGACAAGTCTGATGAATTTGTTAAAAATCTTGACTTCAACTGGCACGAAAAAAAAGAAAGATTACTGGGAACGCTTTTCCACACGAATCTAGCAGAATGAAGGGCGGTCAAGAATTGCGATACCTTCTAGCCAAGATAGGAAAGCACCCAGTAAAGGAAATCAAGTACGTATAGCTACATAAAATACGTACATATCTTACTTTCTTCTCATTTTTTTCAGACTACTCTATCTTTCTGCGCCCTACCTATTCTCTATATTTCGCAGATGCGCCCCGTATTTGTGAACAGCTCAAAGGTGCGAGGAACCCGTGAACCCCTGGGCAACAACATAGCTAAGATACCGAGCCAAGCAAATAGAATGTCTCCAAAGCTCTTTGTTGTGTTCTACCGACCACGCTATGGAAACTTCCTGCACTGGGCGTTGCATATAGAGAAGGGTCAAGAGCATCACATTCTCGAGGTTGATGGCGAGCATCCACAATTCAAACGAAACACATTTATGGAGAATCCGAGGGAATCAAGCACGTTCTTACGCCAGTTCTTCATTGCTGTGCTTGGAGAGGACGATATCGAGAGAGTGAAGAACGCTGCACAAAGCGTGCATGTGGATAACGAGACGGTTGAATGGGATTGTCAGGATTATGTGCTAGAAATCCTTGATAAGCTACAGGAGGATTTAGTTTTAGACACGAATGATGAGGATTATATTGATGTGAGGGAGATATTGGCGGAGGAGAGAGGAGGAATAGTTTGATATTCTAACCCTCCAGGGCTACTTATAGGGAGTCTCTGACTGAATCAATACTTAGTGCTTTCAAGTCGTGATGTCTGATCAGTACTCCGTGGGTATAAACTGACTAGAATAAGAGAAGAAAGTGAGGGATAAGTTGAGTAAACTCTCGGATGGGCACACTACTAGTTAGAGTGAAGTGCTCTGGCTTATTTCCTATCTTTTCCTTTTCCTCTTCCCTTTCTTCCTCTTTCTCTCCTCCAAATCAGACAGAAAGCTAGTGCTTCCTCCTAGCTTTTTCTTTTCTCTAGTCACTATCTACTTGCAATATTCGCCATATTTTTCACCATGCCTGAAAGCAAAGAAATTTCTGTAGGCCTTATCTTTTGTTAAAAACTGTGTCTCTTGTGGTCACCTCATGCTCAGATCCTTACTCGTCCCAACCCATTCCCTATCGATATGACAATCATTTGAGCATGATACCACCTTCATTCGACGGTCTGAGTTGCATACTCTGTCTGTCCCATGATTGACCTTACTGCGTTGTGTTGGTAATGCTTGATCGTACTGAGCGATGCTCCCTCTATCTCATACACAACACACAACCCCTAATTAAGGGGACTACTCGGCAAAGCCAATCTGTCTTGTCTGAGTGGCTCTATCGTTGAAGGAAATGCGGCCTTCTATCGATATAACCTCCCGGTCTACTTATACCACCAATGCAGCTGCGTCCTAGAGACCTCATCAACTACCAAGGTGTGAAGGTAACTGACAACTCTTCTAGAACACCGTCCATCCCCCCGCCGCCCCTAATGTTACTTCATCCTCTGTCCCCCCCCTCTCCTACCACCGCTCCTACCGCCTCCCACTCCGTGTCCAGCAAGTTAGATTTCCCCGTACTCCAAATCTCGAGCCCCTCATCGGTCATTCTCATCGGAGGACGCATCTCCACTACCACGGATATAGCTAATATAGCCTAAATCCTGTCATATCCTTTCGAGCTGCTGATTTTGTTGAGGATCTATGCTAATATTCATATAAACATAGCCAGCACTGGCGTGGCCATCCCCGCAGTGGTCCTTGCCCACCAGGTCACACTTGCTTCGTTGGTTCCCGAACTTGCTCTAAGCGACCACGAGGTTGAAGCTCTGACTAGCCACTTACCCCAATTGATCATCGAATACATCAAAGATCGAAGAGCTACTATGGATGTACCCTGGGACTTGTAGACCTGACTATGGACATGAATATGCACTGTCACCACCTGGCGGTTCTGTTGTCAAGTCATTGTGGTCAATGTCCAATCAGCGAATGCAAAATGACTACAAAGTGAAGAACAATTGATTGATCTCTCAGATATTCATGGAATTTATATGCTGTCATTAGGCTAATAGCGTGTAGTGTGTAGTGCTCTCTATGGCTATTGCGTACATACTATGTAGTTAATCGCTGAGTTTCCTCCTTCTTAGTTTCCTTTTTCTCTTCCTCTTCTTCTCTCGATCAGCAACATCTCTCACCACCTTGCACCTTGCAGGCTACTCCTCCTGCTGTTGCTTCCCCTGTCACCTCTAAATTTATGATTTCCGGTAGTCTGTACTAGGTCTTTATCGGGAGGTAGATATAAGATGCATCTCGGAGACCTACTTTCATAATAATCTCTTCTATATAGGCCTACTTAGGAGGAGGATGCCTTATTCCTCTCTCGATAAGCTACAACTAAGGAATTCCTTTAGTTCCCTAAGGTCATGATGCTTAAATGAGATAGTTGTTTAAAACTGATTGATCTCCTCTTCGTTAAGTGTAGCAATTAAGGTTTCATCCACACATGGGAAGAGCTAGATACCTTGCTCTTTATAAATAAGAATGTATGGCTTATCGACAAGTGGTTTAAATCCTATGTTTTTTCAACTCCTTTGCCACTATAGCATACTATAGATGTGCTGGTTGGCGAAGGCTGTAGAGAGCTTGGAGAATGAGACAGACCTTGTTCTATTCCTAGAATCCGGTTAGATGTCTCATAAAGACAGCCCTATCATCGATGATTACATTGAGGTACGCGCCGGTGTAAATAACATGCTCTAGAATCATGTTTTGAACTGCAACTATACTCGAAAAGAGTCTCATGGTTTCATTACGCGCAACAAAAACATAATCTCGTCAAAATCATAGCTAGGGCACTGTCAGTTTCTACATACTACCCATCTCGCTTGAAATTTGTACACGATATTGTCTTTGTCTGTTAGAAATCAACAAAATTGGTGATTATCTCCGGCAAGAAAGTAACCGGATTGTCCGCCTCTTCATCATTTAGACATCAAGGTGTACGAGGCCTAGGGTAGCTCCAAGATAAGTTTGCGATCTTGGATAAAGTTGAAAATTATTTTGGGCAAGTGAACGGCCAATGCTTTGACTTCTTCATCATTAAGCATGAGCTCAGGTACCAACGAAGAAAACGTTATTGATCCTCAACACCGTCAGCAATTACCTGGGGCAAATACCTGGGGCAAATACCTGGGGCAAATACCCCACCAGAGCTTGAGGTTCCTCTGCCGATTACAACCAGCAAGATCTCATAATTGTCTCATAATAGCAGAAGGCGTCTATAAAAGGCTGTAAGAACACAAGCAAACAATGCGATTGAGAGTACTCACGGGTAAATGGGGGTCGTCTCTCGAGCATTCATCACACCGTGCAGATCCAGGAAACCATTTCAGCAGTCTCCTGCCACGGAAGCTTAGGGTATTTATCCCAGTTGCAAATTCTCAGCTTCACCTCGATAACGGCAAAGATACCAGATATATCCGTAAGATATCCCTGGATGTGCGTAGTCATTGCATTATCCCCAAACGAAGTCTGAATAAATAGAAAGTGAATGGAGGTTCATTCGCATCGCATATCAGGTAGGTGAACTGTTAGAGCTTGCAGGAACACAAACGTGGGTCGTACATAATGATCGGTGATATTTGAGGAATGGAATGTCTCAGTCAGCAGCAGCTGAAACAAGTCGCCAGTCATCTGGGAGATCCAGGCCCTCATCGCCCTTTCAAAGAGGTTAGGAAATGCAATAGGCTTAGGTACCATTAATCTGCGCAAGATGTCCTCATGCAGGGAAGCTGTTTTTCGGAGGGGCCAAAAGAGTATGGATGATGAAACAAACTGTAACTTGAAGTAGTTGTAGTTTCTGGTTACCAGAGATGCCAAAAAAAGAGTTGTACATATGTATTCCTCAAAAGGAAATAGTATGGTAGTTCGCACAAAAAAATATTATCACACAGAGAGCTCATACATTAAGACCTCGGGAGCCGCAGCTGGAAGACAGAGCGGAGACTTCCCAAAAGAAAGGTGAAAATTTTGATTGGCCAGGTGCACATGTGGGTCTAGCATATTGAGTTTTAATTGGTGAAGAGACAATAAAGTTATTTGGAGAGCCCTGGTCCATGTGTCCACTAGTCCAAAAGAGGACTACAACATTTTTCCAGGAGGGCGATGGTCTGGGATTTAGTAAGGTCTAGTAAGGATTTACCGGTCAATGAGTTGAAAAGAAGCATGAAAAGATCGAAGGTTGACCCTATCGTTCGATATGGAATATATCAGGATCCGCCCAAGCAAGAAACACAAGAATATCCAGATATTTAGTTGGGACAGTTTATTGATGTTGATGTTGATTCCGGCGCTGCCTTGAAGGATAGCATTACGCTTCTCAAAAATGATATCCGTTGTACTCGCAGAAAAAAGACCGTTTTGGTATTATCAGAGAACCATCCTCCTCCGCGGATTCCGAGGTTTTTAAAGATTCGAGTATATTGGGCAAGATTACGAGGTTGGTAACTTAGAATAATGCGGGACTACATCTCAGAATGTAGAAATATATGTTGGCCCTTTCTTTATATACCAAATATGGCTCATTAACTGCCTGGTTGCTTTATTTTTTTGTATATTATCAAGTTTAATCGTGGCTCAGGGTTAATGTCTGATATCAATTATATTGATTATTTTTCATGTGCTCAGTCCCCAGAAGTGAAATAGTAAAACATCCATCATCTTCTATTGGGGTCGACCCTGAAGTTGACTATAAGACTAATTATTACTCGGATACAAAAGTATGAACTAATGGCCTTGATAAGTTACATTCACTGCTCTCCAGATGAGGAAAGATAATGATACAAAACAATATGGTACAGCATAGAACGACAGTGGGTATAATATAAATCTGGTAAAAGAGACCAAGCCGATTCCAGACCCAAGGATCAGCAAGAAGATAGGAGGCGATAGCGGGCCATGTCATGCAGTGGTTCATAATGAAAGGGAAACGAGAAGCGAGGACAAACAATTCAAGGGCCGTACATCCGCACATCCTCCGCATCAACTTCCTCGCGGCGGCGGAGGAACGTAGCTTCCTCGAAATCATCCATGTCCATGGTGGGCTGTTCAATCTTGCTGTGACGCACAGCAAGAATGCGGCGACTTTGGCCCAAATTCGGGGACAGGATGGTTCGTCCGTATGAGTTCTCGTGCCAGGATCCGCCGAAATTGTTGAATGATTCATCAGCATCCTCATCAACAAGAATATCCCCATCTAATTCCAAAGCCCGCTTTTGACCGCCCATGGCAAATGACCCAGTCGAGTCTTGGCTGCTTGGTGGGATCGAGTATGCGTCGCCATCGTCGGTAACGAGGTAATCATTGGCGCCGAAGGAGGATTTACGAGCGCCAGAAAACGGCGGTAGCTCAGAGTATCTGCTGCCATGGTAGGGCTGAGCGCGAGGGGTCTGGCCAATAGCTGTAGGGAGTGGGGCCTTTTCTTCGGGCTTGGACATGTGGGTTCTATATCCGTCTGCGACGGATTTCCGGACCCGCATTCCGACAGACATGAGAGAAGACTGAACTTTGGCGGGCACAATGGGGTGAGCAGAGAAGGTTTCCGCAGCGTAATGGTGGTGGTGCGATACTGCAGGTGTATCTGAAGACACTGGCCCCGAGGCAGATGTGAAGAACGTTGTGATGGGAGGTTGGAAGCGGCGACGCTTCGACAAGTCGTTGCTGGGCATTGGACGGTTGACGGAGGGCATTTTGAAAAATGGGATATGTGAATGATAGAAAGGTATTTGAGATTTGAGATTTCACTGCAGTATTCTTGAAATGAACATGAGGGAGTGACGTAGTGTAAAGGAATGAGGAGGGGAAGGGAAAAAAAGGAAATGCAAAATGGACGAGGGCTGCTTGGGCAACGGGAACGCCACTTAACGCGGTACGCGTTGATGAATCCTTGGAGTCTCCACTTCATCTCGCGTCAACCAATCTACTTTGACTTGATTGACTTGATTGACTTGATTGACTTGATTGACTTGATTGACTTGATTCACTGGATATTTCTAATAGAACAGTCTAAGCCATTTTTAAGTACGGAGTATGGAGTAGTCCCTTCGACTATAATTACTCCGTACTAGTGGGACGAATGTAGTAGTATATGCTCTTTATAAATCTATCCTGCGACCGTGAAATGACAAAAGTAATGTACTGTATATAACGACAATCATTATTTTTAAACGACATAAAAGGCCTACTGGCCAACGTTTCCTCTCCGTCCACCTCTCTTGCCACGATCGACATGGGCCCGGAGCACAGCACGGGTCTCCACCAAACTTCTCTTGTTCTTGCTGCGAGCCTTGCCCAGTGTCATGAGGAAGTTCTTCTTGCGAGCCTTCTCCTTGTTGGTACTACTCTTTCCTGCCTCCTCCTTGCGTTCCTTGCGGCGAGCCTCCTTGCTCATATGATCAGAGGTCTTGCCCTCCTTGGCGTGGGCAATACGTTCCTCGCGAGTAGCCCTAGCGGCAGAAAGAGCAGCAAGACCCTCAATCTCTTCAGCGGTCAATGGGTCATCGGTATGACGGGAGGTCCATGGGGCAGCGACGCGGCCCTTGTTGCCCGGAAGAGTTGCATCAGCGGCTGCCTGGGCGCGAAGCTCAGCAAGCTTGGCAAGATCGGCGGGTGTGAGGATGCGGGTGGTGGCCAGTTTCATGAAATCAATGACTTTGTCGGCTTCCGATTCTTTTTCAGCGTCCTTCTTGGCCTCTTCTTCCTGCTTGGCCTTCTTTGATGCCGGCTTGCCTTCATCTTCGGAATCGCTCAGTACAATGTCAACGTCATCCTCCACATTGATCCATTCTCCATCGACATCGCTGTCCGAGTCATCTTCGACATTCCAGGCGGCCCAGTCGGCTTCGTCATTCTCCACTTCATCATCTTCCGCATCAGATGGAAGACCATTCTCGATGTTCTTCTTGCGACGCTCCTCGTCTTTCCACTTCGCCAAGAGTTCCAGGCCTTGGATTTCACCGACCGCCTGCTCACCGTAACGTCTCTCTTGTCTCTCACCAGCGCGCAGACTCATTGCGGCCTCCTTACCACGGTCACGCTTCTTCAGCATCTGCGCACCAACATCACGGTAAAGACTGAGGAGACCTTTGGAGGCCATCATGACACCCTTATCCTTGCTCTTCTTGTACATGACAAGATCCTGCAACAGGGTCTCTTCAATAGCCAAAGGCTGCCGGGCACAGATTTCACGGATGGCATTTAGACCAGCTGTCGCAACTTCACCAGCAGATGCTTCGGACACGAACTCGTTTGCAATCTTCTGGACCAGAGGCTCGAGGACATCGGGTGGCACCAAGTCGTGGGAGGCTTGGGCCAGGGATGCCAGAAATGAAGTCACAGAAGGTTGGCGAGGCGTAAGGTACTTTTGGAAATAAGAGTAGAGCGGCATAATGTGCAACTTGTGCAAGCCGACTAGACGGGAGACCAACTGTAGCACTTGGAGCTTTTGCTCTAGGTTCAACTTAGATTTGCCGTTCTGGAGGTGCTTGAAGAACATGTTATCCGCAAATCCCTGAGGATCGTGTAGCAGATGAAGGGCGGAGAAGTTCAGGGGATTAGGATTGCCCTTCTTGCGCTCCTTGTTCCTGGCCGCTTTGATGGCCTTTTCGGCGACACGGGCCTTCTTTCTAGTCTTCTTGTTGATGGTAAGTTGGTGCTTAACCTGACCAACACTGACCTCTTCGTCACTCTCTTCATCCTCCAATTCCTCGCGCTCCTTATCACCACCAAGGAAGAAACGGACTCCGCCGATGACGACCTTCTCATTTAGTGACAAGGCTGCCTCCTTCATGACCTCAACGGCCTTAGCCTCAGTCCAGATTTGGCGTTTCCATAGCTCTCTGGTGATCTTGATCGCCCACAAGCCTTTGGCCGATGTGCGGTCTGATGTGACCAAGTTGAACAGGACGGTTTGCATAGTTCGGTTCAGCTTGTGGTTAGTGGTCTTTGAATTTGCAGTTCGCAGCTCAGAGAGAATCTTCTGGAAGAGCAGAGCTCGCAGAGTCTTGCTAGGCGTAGAGACAAGGATGGGGAAGAGTGTGTGAAGGAGCCTGGAGTAGCAGTTAGGATCGACAGTAGGGGAAGTAATAAAGTGGGTCTTCATACGTTGCTGAATCTATAATATCCTTCTTCTTCAAAAGCACCAAACTTCCAACCAACTTCTCCCGCAACTCTGTCTCCAACAGCAGGTGGTGCTGCATGAGCATGTCAATGAGCTGTTGCGGGAAGTCTTTACAGATGTCTGGGTAACAGTCGGCCACATGGGAAATGAAGTCAATTAGATCCCGAAGAGAAATCACACCAGTATCCGTGGCGGACGAGGGCGCTGCCATGAAAATCTCACGATGGGATTCATATTGGTAGTGTTGGGCGCGGAAATCCTCGATGTAAGACCTGAATAGCGCAACGCGACAATTAGCCCCAGATCGAGTGCAATGAATCATAGAAAATCTCTGCATATAAACTTACTTGGGATCCCTGCGAATCTTGTGCTGCAAATTGGGCCTGCGAATCGCAAAGAAAAGATGTTAGCATCACGGACTGAAGCCTCTGATCGATTGACCATGGGCGCATCGGCTCAAACGAAATGTACATACAGGTCAGCCTCAACCTTTTCCAAGGCTCCAAGCTTTCTTTTCACCATTTTGATGGAAATAACAATGAGGTGGTTGGGAAGGGTGTGTTGAGGTCCGAAACTTTTTTTTTCTCCGTATTCTCCGTATCGATAAGCGATGGAAAATCTCAATCTTGGCAATATTCCAAGGTCTGATTTGGCTAGAACTATCAAATCGTAAACATTGAGACATCAAGACATTTGATCATTTGAATCATGTATTATTCTACAATCTGATCCACATTCAATCTATATTGCCAGATCCATTCATAAACGAGAATAAAAGAAGTTTTTTCTTTTTAGGAAATAGGTCTTTACGACCCAGGGTCTTCGTGATCACATCACAACTACAAAGAAAGCCGTCCGAATGCGTTCCCTTTTTAAGATCGTGCTTCCTCCTGACTGTATCACATTATGTACAGCCTTGCAGATGCATGCGAATCCACTGAATCCCGGTTAAACCCCCGTCCACTCCAGTATGCGCAAACAGAGGACCAAACGGAGAACAAATCCAACACAACCCCTTTACCGGTTGCTCTTGGCAACACGCTCGAGCTCATCCTTCTTCTTGATAGCGTAGGAGTTGGAAGAACCCTTGGCGGCGTTGATCAGCTCCTCAGCAAGGCACTCAGCAATGCTCTTGATGTTGCGGAAAGAGGCCTCGCGGGCACCGATGGTGAGCAGAGAGATAGACTGGTTCACGCGACGGAGGGGAGACACATCGACGGCTGGGATGGTAATTAGTATTTGATATCAGAACTGGCGAGAAGACTTTTCACATACCCTGGCGACGGACGGTACCCTGGGAACCGATACGGGTGGAGTCCTCACGGGGACCGCAGTTGACAATAGCGTCAACGGCGACCTGGAGAGGGTTCTGGTCGGTCATGATGTGGACCTGTAAAATGGAATATTAGTCCCTGAATTAGATAGTTGAATTGGTCGGAGTGGCACATACGATCTCGAAAGCGTGAGCGACAATGCGGACAGCGAGGAGCTTCTTTCCGTTGTTGCGGCCGTTCATCATCAGGGAGTTGGTGAGACGCTCGATGATGGGGCACTGAGCCTTGCGGAAACGCTTGGCGGCATAGCGACCGGCAGAGTGGGAGAGGTAGACGGGGGAGCGGATCTGGATGTAGTCGCTATGATGGCGGGTCAGCACCTCTGTAAATCTGATAGTCGCGCAATTGCCGGTCCTTGTGTGCGCTGTTGATTTCCTGATGTGTGCGAAGAGAAAACCAGTCCCATAGCGTGTTGTATTTCCTCCGATATAGAATTCCGATATTCCCCCTTCAAGTCGTCGAAAAAGTCTTGCCATTCCACCAATTCGACTCGTGTTTTCTTCTCGCACACAACAGGAATTCACTCGGCGCATAGAGGACCCGATAGAAAGACTCACGTCAGGGAAATGTCCCGGATCTCGACATCATCGTAGCTCCACTTGTTGAACAGCTTAATGCTGCCCTGCTCGGCCAGAACCTCCTTGGGCAGGACAGGGAAGGCGGCGACCTCGACGTCCCCGTTGTCGGACATGTTGACTGTGCGGGAGGGGTTCGTGGGAAAATGACCGGGTTGTCGTTTGGTGGTTGAACGTCGATGAGGTTCCGGTTATCCAAGAAAGAAATTGGTGTGCCTCGCTTAGGTTGTGCGGGGGTCATGTGATTAGGGTAGGCTGAGAGTGGATATCACCTGATTGATGCCTTGGTGCCTTGACACCTTAATACCTGAGGAATTCAAACTTTATGGTGATCGGCATTGACACCGGGGAAAACCAATAATCTCGGCCTTAAATTGATCACATTGATTTTCTATTTTGTACTGATTCTGCTGAGTACTCTTAGGCTTTGATTTAATATCAATCATATACTTGTTCAATCAAGACAAAGTTCTTCATCTTCCTACCCAAAACTAATCACAAATTGGTCTAAATTGGTGTCTCTCATTCCCAGTAGTTCCGAACCTGGACAGGGTACACACGATACATCCAAGTCAGACGGTACCTGAAAAGCCACAATTTTCATCGGAACTCAATGCCGTAGGCTTCATACTACTCCGTACATATGTAGAATATTCTCTTCATTATTCTATATATAAGTGAGACAACCATACCTAGAGGTATACATCGTCTCTCCATCAGATGTCTCACTTGGGCTCTCGGCTCGTCTGACCGCCCTTGCCAGGTGACGTTGCGGGTGTCTTGCGCGGAGGCCAGAGACACGACGGATTGACTGTCGACTTACACCCCCGGTAAATACGACCTGCGGCTATCAGTGCTGCACTTGGCAAATCCGCCACCCCTCTCTTGCGCCCTCGTGACGCTCATTGCGATGAGGTGTTCTTGACTCCGTGCCCCCCTTCAATCCCTTCCCCGCGCTTTTGATACGTTTCCCCGAATCGAGGCTTTCCGACCTTCCAAATGGCGGAAGAGTCTCCCGAGATACAAGCCGCTTTGCGGAACCTAGATCGGGAATTGGAGGTATGTATATTCCGTACACTTCTTGTATCGTTTTACTCATGCATGATCCATGACAGGAGGGCGATATCACCGAGAAAGGGTAAGCAATTTGACTAGATATACCATCCCTGGCCACAAGCAGTATTACAAGCCAATTGTTCCGTGTAAATACGGTTCCTTCGACAGGTTTTTGCTTTTTACGCTAGCAGATACATGAGAGAACTAACAACAACAAGATACCAGAAGCGACGTACGGTCCTGCTCTCGCAATATTTAGGTCCCAACCAGCGCCTTGATATCAACTCACAGGGCTACAATGCATCCCCAGCCAGTCATCCAAGGGCTCCGCGGGCCATTTTGAGCGTTCGCCCTCCAACTGCTGAATCTTCCCTGCCACACATCGCTTCGCCCACCTATGCAGGCAGCTACAATAGCTCACAGGGCAGCGGAGGCGTCGGATATAGCCAAGGTGCCGGTATACATACACAGGATCAGTCGCAGGCATCGCTAGGGTCTCATGGCAGAGAAGGCATGCTCCAAGCCCATGATCGTGCGCCTTCAGGAAGCTCTTACGACTCCCTATTCCTTCCTAAACCTCCAATCCCAGGGGCACAAGGCCAGGATGGCTCTAGAACTGCAACTTTAATGAGTCAGAACTACGCGTTCAACCCGAATTCTCAGCCCGAGTATATGTCTCAGCCCGAGTATGCTCAGGAGTACGCCCAGGAATATGCCCCTGCCGAACACGCTCAACCTGAGTATGCGGACGAAAGCGTGACATATTATGATCAACCATCTGGAGCACCTACGCGACAGTCAACAATGCTTGATTCCCAGCAGGGTTACTTTTCAGACTTTGCTGGGCAACAGCATGATGATTATAGGGATAGCTATGGAGGTGGCTTCCACCGCTATTCTCAGTCCGGGGAAGCCTTTTCGCCAACAGCAAATATGGCCCCGCCATTGATGCCCGCTGCGGCGGAACTTCAGCATGGACCGGCTATTGAGCATCTACATCCCCTGGAACCCCGGGAGATTCCTTTCGCACTGAACGATCCGCATGACAAAAATATCCCCATGTCCAACTTTGACAACCTTCCCACAGTATTACGGCATCGCGCTCGAGCTCATCCCAAGCAGGCAGCCTATTGGGTGCTAGATGCCAAGGGCAAGGAGGTTGCATCGATAACGTGGGAAAAGTTGTCTAGCCGCGCAGAGAAAGTTGCACAAGTCATCCGTGATAAGAGTAATCTATATCGTGGAGATCGCGTGGCTCTCATCTACCGCGAAGCTGAGATTATCGAGTTCGCTGTCGCGCTGTTAGGATGCTTTATTGCAGGAGTTGTCGCTGTGCCTATCAACAGTTTGGATGACTACACAAGTCTAAATCTCGTGCTTACCTCGACCCAGGCACATCTGGCTTTGACAACGGAGAACAATTTGAAAAACTTTCAACGCGATATCACAGCTCAAAAACTCAGTTGGCCACGAGGAGTTGAGTGGTGGAAGACGAATGAGTTTGGTAGTTTCCATCCAAAGAAAAAGGACGATACACCTCCGTTGCAGGTCCCTGATCTAGCCTATATCGAGTTTGCGAAGGCTCCGACGGGTGATATGCGTGGTGTTGTGATGAGCCACCGGACTATCATGCACCAAATGGCATGTCTGAGTGCAATCGTTTCTACAGTTCCTACAGAGTCAAGTGCCAGGCAGTACGGTAGTAAGGGAGAGACTATCATCAGTTACCTCGATCCAAGACAAGGAATTGGTATGATCATAGCCATTCTCTTGACCGTCTACGGCGGCCACACAACCGTTTGGCACGAGGACCGGGCGGTAGAAACACCCGGTTTATATGCCCATCTCATCACCAAGTACAAGGCATCAGTCATGGCGACCGATTACTCTGGCTTGAAGATCGCCACCTACAACTACCAACAAGATCCGATGTCGACAAGGCATTTCAAGAAGAACTCGGAGCCTAATTTCGGCAGCGTCAAAATTTGTCTAATCGATACCCTTACTCTCGACCCTGAGTTCCATGAAATCCTGGCAGATAGATGGCTTCGTCCAATGAGGAACCCCCGGGCTAGAGAAATTGTGGCTCCAATGCTCTGCTTGCCAGAACATGGAGGCATGGTCATTAGTATGCGTGATTGGCTCGGTGGTGAAGAGCGAATGGGATGTGCTTTGACTCATGAAATGGACCCAGCCAGTCGTGACGATGCTAAGAAAGAAGACGAGAGTCTTACCAAGTCGGAGACTAAAACTGCTTTCGGAAGTAGTCTTCTAGGTGGTGGATCGCGAGTTTCCACGATCAAGCAGAGCCCCAAGAATGAGCTTAGTGAAGTCCTTTTAGACAAAGAGGCCTTGAAGAGCAATGAAGTAGTTGTGCTGGCCATGGGCGAGGATGCACGAAAGTACGCCAGCAGTATGCCGCATGCTGTACGCGTTGGCGCTTTCGGCTACCCAATTCCCGACGCAACTCTTGCCATCGTTGATCCGGAGACCAATCTTCTCTGCACGCCAAATGTTGTTGGAGAGATTTGGGTGGATTCGCCCTCTCTTTCTGGTGGCTTCTGGGCATTGCCGAAACACACAGAGGCCATATTCCATGCTCGTCCCTACAAATTCGAAGAGCTTAACCCGACACCGATACTCGTGGAACCCGAGTTCTTGCGCACTGGTCTACTTGGATGTGTGATTGAGGGTAGACTTTTCGTGCTTGGTCTCTACGAGGATCGTCTTCGCCAAAAGGTCGAGTGGGTCGAGCACGGTCAAGAGATCGTCGAACATCGATATTTCTTCGTTCAACATTTAACTGTTAGCATTCTTAAGAAGGTGCCGAAAATTCATGATTGCACTGCGTTTGATGTGTTTGTCAATGAAGAGCACCTTCCAGTCATTGTTTTGGAGTCTTACTCGGCCTCGACGGCGCCAACAACTTCTGGAGGTCCACCGAGGCAGCTCGACTCGGTTCTCCTTGATTCGCTTGCTGAGAGGTGTATGGAGGTATTGTACCAAGAGCATCATCTGCGGGTCTATTGTGTTCTACTTACAGCCCCGAACTCTTTGCCGCGCGTCACCAAAAACGGCAGACAAGAGATTGGTAATATGCTCTGTCGCAAAGATTTCGAGTCCGGTATGCTGCAAGCGGTGCATGTCAAGTTTGGAGTTGAACGGTCAGTAATGAATCTGCCTGTCGGTGTTGATCCCGAGGGTGGGATCTGGTCCCCTATTGCTCTAGCATCAAGACAAGACATGCTTTCCTATCAGGAAAAGCAATACTCGGGTGTGGATTATCGCGATGTGGTGATGGATGACCGAACTTCCACTCCATTGAACAATTTCAACACTATTGTCGATCTTCTTCAATGGCGAGTCTCCCGTCAAGCTGAAGAACTGGCTTACTGCTCTATTGATGGCCGTGGAAAGGAAGGAAAGGGTGTCACCTGGAAGAAGTTTGACCTAAAGGTCTCTGCAGTGGCGACATACCTCAAGAACAAGGTGAAGGTACGACCAGGAGACCATCTCGTGCTGATGTACACCCACTCGGAGGAGTACGTCTACGCCATTCATGCTTGTCTGTGCTTGGGTGTCGTTGTCATCCCGATGGCCCCTATCGATCAAAACCGTCTTTCGGAGGATGCCCCTGCATTCTTGCACATCATCAGCGACTTCAACATCAAGGCCATCATTGTCAATACTGAGGTTGATCATGTCATGCGGCAGAAGCTTGTGTCGCAGCACATTAAGCAATCCGCCCAAGTTCTTCGCATTGGCGTTCCTGCCATTTACAATACCACAAAGCCCTCAAAGCAGTCCCACGGATGCCGCGAGCTCGGCTACACTGTGAAGGATACTTGGCTCCAGAGCAACCTGCCCGCTATGGTCTGGACGTATTGGACCCCGGACCAGCGAAGAATATCGGTTAAACTTTCTCATGAAACCATCATGGGCATGTGCAAGGTTCAAAAAGAAACCTGCCAAATGACAAGCTCAAGGCCAGTGCTTGGAAGTGTCCGAAGTACTCTAGGTCTCGGATTTCTCCACACCTGTCTGATGGGTATTTTCGTCGGTAAGTTTACTGTTAATCTATGAAGCTTTCTATCCTAACACATTATCCAGGTGCGCCGACATATCTTGTTTCGCCGGTAGATTT